TTATATTGTTTGTTTAAGCCATACGAGTTATGTGTCCGTGAGTAAACATTAATAAGTGAGACAAGAAAGGAAACAATGTGACAGACATTTGTAAAAGATGTAGAAACTAGGAAATATTAAATTATAATTTCAAGAAAGTACCCATGAAACAAGTGGAAACATTTTTGTAATGGCTATTGCCACATTTCTTGTCGCAGAAAAGTCTACTTATAATTAAAGCCATAGGATGTTTACACAAAAACATGAAAATGTTTTCTGCATGGCTTAAATCTGGCACATTTACATAATGACTAAGCCTCGTGTTAATTAAGTCATTGTCGCCTTTTTAAATAAATAAACTTAAAACTGAGGAAGATTAGGACTTAATTTCAATTTAATGCTGCAGATTTATTTGTGGCATGTTATTGTTAAAAGGCACACAAAGTCAATAAAATTGATTAAATTTAAAGTACTCTTTAAGGATAATCTGCCATGGAAGCAACAACATTCACACTAACATTTCCCCACAAATACTCAAAATGTTGCTCCATGACCATTCAATTGTGCAACATTCATCTCTACAACAGAACTGATCCAAGCACCTCCAGTAAAGAGTTTTTGGCCCTTTGCGTCCTTTCCGCCCACGAACATCCTCTACGCCTCAGAATGTCTCTGTGCTTTCATGTCCTACAGATGTGTGAGTGCAGGGGCCACCAACTATGCGCATGCCAAATAGTTTCTGAATGTGCGCTGGTGACCGAAACATTTGAAAGCATGTGACACCAAGAACACTGTATGCACGTGTGAATGGATGTCTGCATTAGTGTGTGTTGGTGCATTCATCATTCTCTCCAGATGTTTTTATGCTCCCCCTTCAGGAGATGCTCCACTCTGAATCTGCTTTCACAATAGAAAGTGTTTTTCAGAGGAACTGTAGGGATTTTGTAATGTTGCTCCCATGTATATCTGGGTGTGTGTGTGTGTGTGTGAGTGCGTTGCAGATTAGGAGAAATGGATGGATAAGCTAACTTGATAAATAATGAGATGTATGTATGGTGCAAGTGTGTGTCCGTATGTGTGTGTGGGTGGGATTCTGATGAGAGCACATGTGATGCAGCTTCTCACTAGTTCCTTTGTTCGTTCCAGGACAACAGCAGACCAAAAGGTGCTTTATGGGTACCGAACGCAAGGCACTTTCAGTCTCACACACATAATAGACAAAAATAAGATTTCCCTCTTTCATGCGTCCTTTAAACTCATTTGAGGCTCTGTTTCAAATTCAGAAAAATAAAAAAAAGGTAGAACACACTGACATCCTTCAGGTGACACATTTATTGTCATAATGATGCTCACTTTGTAGGCTTTGACTCTTCAGGATGAGTCACTTCAGCAACAATAAAGTCCTGGTCGTAATCAGGCTTCAAAACCAACTCTATCTATATATCTCTATATAAATTTCTATAGAACTGGAATCAAACAGCTGGTATCTACCCTCTCTGTTTCCCCCCCAAGATAAGCTTATGGCTAGAACATAGTTTGTTGCTACAGTATAAGGAACTTTCCTATAACCATATGCTCCCAATGCACATTTAGACCACAGTTGAGAATTGAGTTAATCTCTATAACAAACTCTCCATACTATGTGTGTGTGTGTGTGTGTCATTTGTACAAACTTGAGGCAGCTGAATTCCATGCTTACAGACAGGTGCCCATAAATCAGAATATACTAGAATCACTTTTTTCAACTATTAAAAACCTCTCCACACCACCCACAACACATACCCTGCCCCTCTCTCCAGATGAGAGAGAACTCCTTCCTTCATTCCCCCCCCCTCAGCCCAGAGACGTCCTCCGCCCAGTCCTTTATAACATCAGGGTTCTCCCACAGCATGGTGGATTGGTTCCTTTGGAAAACTGCATTAAATGTGTTGACCGCAAAAGCGAAACGAAATGGGGAAAGTGAACGTTTTGTTGTTGAACGGAGTTAACATTATCCGTCACAAACGTTTGATCGCGGTAAGGTGTGTGTTGTTTTTCTGCTGCCACAGGAAGCTGCCAGCAGGCTTTGCTCAAATAGTGGCATCGGCGGCCTCGCAGTGGGCATTTCTGGTGGCAGGTTTGATGCCACATGAATATGAAAAGAACGAA